TCTACATGGCTTACTCCTGGCCCTTGCACTCTGCATTACTCTCTACTGGCCTCTGGACTCTATTACTTAGGATCTCTGAACTCAGCGTTACATACTCCTGACCCCTGCACTCTGTGCTACACGCTACTGACTTCCAAACTCTTCATTACTTACTCCTGTCCTCTGAACTCTGCATTACTTATACCTAGGGATGCACTGATACTGGTTTTTCGGTATCGAGTAGAAGTACCGATATAGGCTTCCTGAGGAAGGCGGTGTGCTATCGAAAGAAAAACCGGCTTCACGCCTTGAGGCGGCCTGGCCTCCTGACAAATCAGGAAGCCGGGCATCACATCATGACCCACCTCACGGCTTCCTGATTGGCTAAGAAGCTGACTTCACTTGTTGCTAGGCAGCCTGGCTTCCTTACCAATCAGGAAGCCGGGCGGTGGGTCATGACATGCCTACCGGCTTCCTGATTGGTCAGGAAGCTAGGCTTCCTAGCAACAAGTAGCTAGGAAGCCAGCTTCAAGCCGGGAGGCGGGTCATGACCCACTGCCCGGCCTTCCTGATTGGCAGGGAAGCAGGCTCCATGCTCCCTCACGGCACTGCTGTTCAGAGGTAATCTCCCTCTGACTGGAAGTTCCGGTGACCGGGTAAGTATTCAGCATTTGGGCAAGTACGAGTATCGTTATCAGTGCATCCCTACTTATAACCTTTGAATTCAGCATTACACATTTCTGACATCTGCACTCTCTGGATCCCTGCTCTCTCCATTATTGGCCATTGACGCTCAGTTTTACTTACTCATGCTCTCATCTTACATACTCCTGGACCCTAAATGTTACTTACTCATGATCTCTGAACTCAGCATTGCACACTACTGACTCCTGCACTCTGGTACACACTACTGAACTCTGCATTGCATACTCCTGAACTCTGTTATTTACTCCTTACCCCTGCACCATCCTGACCAAAATGTATACTGCTCTGACACTAAAGCTAAAAAGGTAGCATAAGTTTATATTTTAACAGTGTCATTGGTGTTCTATTTTTTTTAAAGATTTCTTCAAACCTTCCTTATTTTTTGATAGAGCCTTGCTTGGATATCGCCTTAAAAAAAGTGCTGCACCCAGATGATCTTTGCTCTTTTCCATGTTGTTCAGGAGGATCTCCAACTTTCCAGGATTGCTTTCTCCTGTGTACAAGAAAGAGCATTGAGCACAGCTAGTTAGAATGTTACTCAGTGGGGTTTCCGGCAGGAAGTTTGCTAAGTGTCACTATTACCGTTTTAAAGAGTTATCTTCAGTTCTGATAAAAACTTTGAACTTTGACATGTACTGCATGTGTAAATGTTATCAGTAGTAGCTGTTGGTATGTATTTAGGTTGAGTGGGCAGAAGACTGTTGAACCATTTGTACTTATGGAACCGCTGATTCTTGTACTGGATTCAAGCAGCAAAGTGTTGGAAAGATCGAAATGGTTCCTCTTTCAGACCCACTTTTCCCCGCCATTGTCCATCTTTTTGGGCTAGTGTATATACTTCCTTAAATTCATCTGTCATTCAAAGTATATATTATGATTTTTTAAAATTTTTGTTGGATAGAGTGAAGGATTAGAACTCCTGTTTGTTTTATACTGCTATCCAGAGCGCCACAAAAAACGTTTCCTCACTTCCTGTCCTGCTGGCAACAGTTTCACCAGAAAGGAAGGGAGGGAAAATCTGTTAGAGGGACACAGAGAGAATTCAAATCTCATCGCCTTCTAACCTTCTGCTGCTTTACTAAAGAAACACGTTTTTATTTCTGTGTTGCTGTTGAAGAGTTCTACTCGCTTCCTGTCTCGTAAAACAGCAAGACAGGAAGTGAAGGTAAATCTCTCTAACAGTGCCAGATAGCAGTAAAAGCCCCTTTTTATCCAAAACGAATTAAAAATGTTTTGGCTGAAAATATACTTTAACATGTCTATATTGTACAGCATCTATCCAGCTTTTTAAATCATTGTATTTGTTGCTTTCATACACAGTTATAAAGGTAAAACAGGGTTATAAATGCATCAGTGGATTTAAATGATCACGTATTGTCTATGAATTCCTCATGAAACGCATAACTGGGAACATCATAGGGGTGTAGCCTATTTCTGCATATTTTGTGACCTCTCCTCCCTTCTCGGGAGGTTTGGTGCTGGTTACTAGGTAGACTAAGTGCTTGTGTGTTTGCGAAGCTTGCGTGTGGGAGTGGAGTGTTTTTGGCAGCTGTTGTAGCTATTTTCATAGTGATCACTCCCTAAGTGCATTAGACCCACAGGCATCACCAGGCCTTTTTAAACACAGCTACTAGGAGAGTCCGCATTTTCTGTGCAAACAAAGCCAGGAAGCTTGATTGTAGCTGCAGCTTTGTCTGGGAACCACCTGTTAGGCCTCATTCACACACAACGCAAGAGCAAAATTGTATATTGTGTATATGTGCGCGTAGGTGGGTATATGCGTGCACTATGCAATCCCAGAATGCATCATTCATAATATAAATTTTAATGAACTGTACGCGCGTAAACATGCGGATATGCACGTAAATACATTGCCCGGACGCATCTCGGTGCCATTCAGTTTTTGCGCATTTTTACGCTATGCAAATATACGGCTCCATACGCAGCTATGTGTATGAAGCCATTTATTTGCATATGGTACAATACGCGCATATATACGCGCGGCAGTGTTAATGAGCCCTAAAGCCGCCTGTTTGTTGTTGGTGTTCCCCTTCAGACTATCGGGAACCTAGATTATAGAATGTGATGGCTGGTTCTCTTGCTCAGTGCTGTAGGTTGCACTATAGATTAAACATAGAGAAAGTCAGATATAATACACTTCTATGAATGTGCCTGTACTGTATGTAGCCTTGTTAGACTATCGGTGCCCAGTGCCCACAGATGGTAAGGAACTTTCATCCAATCTCTCCTTTTAGGATCTGCATGACCTTGGCTGAGTCTGCTCAGTAAAGTTGAACAGATTGGCAGCAGATTACGAGTAGGACAGTTGGGCAAGCTGCCAAGACCCACAGCTCCTAGGGGCCCTATGCGTGAATGCCCTCCCGCCTAATACATTGGTGGTTCACTAAAGCTGGGTACACATGGTCAGAAGTTCAAACAAATTACATCTATTTTGGAATGTTTGTTTGACTCTCTAATTGTTGATTCGGGGAAATCAATGATCAATTTCAACCGCAGTGAGGAAACATTTGAAGGAGCATGTTGGAAAAATTTTCTTAAACGAACGAAATTCTAAATTTCAGAAAACTCCATTCATTCCAAAAGTAAATGTTAAATATAAACGAAAATCAAACAAAGTTTTTAATGAAAATCTCAAAGCCTCTAATGGTATTGTTGATCGTTCCAAAAGGATTTTTCGTACGAACGTTAGTGCGAAAATCTGCCTGTGTATACCCTTCTTAAGATCCCTGCAGAGCCATGGGTCACACCGCTTGCAGCTCTCAAGGTATTCTTACAAAGTAGATATAATACCCCACATTCGTTTCATGTTTCTCACACCTCAAGACCTTAACCCCTAGGTAAAAAAAAAAAAAAAACAAGCTTTAGAATTTGTACATTAAAAATGCATGAAGAAATCTTTTATACATTTTTTACATTAATTTTTTGACTGATGTGTTGTGATAATTTTACTTAATGTTCCACTTTTAGCACACATTGACACACATATATCACAATTAATGTATCGTGTTTATAGTGTAATATACTCTTGCGCTTATATATAATTGTGCTCAAAACTTTGCATACCCTGGCAGAAATCGTGGCATTGATATTGAAAAAAAGGCTGATCATGCAAAAAAACTGTCCTTTTATTTAAGGATAGTGATCATTTGAAGCCATTTATTGTCACATACTTGTTTGGCTCTTTTTTAAATCATAATGATAACAGCAATCACCCAAATGGTCCTGATCAAAAGTTTGGCCTTGTTACAGACACACAAGGTGACACACACACGGTAAAATAGCAACTAAAGGTTCATTTCCCACAACTGTGGCTTTTTAAATTGCAGTTAGTGTCTGTGCATAAATAGTCAATGAGTTTGTTAGCTCTCATGTAGATGCACTGAGCAGGCTAGATACTGAGCCATGGGGAGCAGAAAAGAACTGTCAAAAGACCCACATAACAAGGTAATGGAACTTTATAAAGGTGGAAAAGGATATAACAAGATATCCAAAGCCTTGAACATGCCACTCAGTACTGTTCAATCACTTATTAAGAAGTGGAAAATTTGACGATCTCTTGATACACCCTGTGAAGCATGAAGGTGGCTCACTGATGTTTGGGGGGGGGGGGGGTGTGAGCTCTATAGGCACGGGGAACCTTGTGAATGTTGATGGCAAGATCAATGCAGCATGTTATCAGAAAATACTGGCAGACAATTTGCATTCTTCTGCACGAAAGTTGCGCATGGGACACTCTTGGACTTTCCAGCATGACAATAACCCCAAGCACAAGGCTAAGTTGACCCTCAAGTGGTTACAGCAGAAAAAGATGAAGGTTCTGGAGTGGCCATCACAGTCTCCTGACCTTAATATCATTGAGCCACTCTGGGAGGATCTCAAAACGTGTGGTTTATGCAAGAAGACCAAAGACTTTGCATGACCTAGAGGCATTTTGCCAAGCCGAATGGGCAGCTATACGACCTGCAAGAATTCGGGGCCTCAGACAACTATTACAAAAGACTGCACACTGTCATTGATGCTAAAGGGGGCAATACACAGTATTAGGAACTAAGGGTCTGCAGACTTTTGAACAGGGGCCATTTAGTTTTATTTGTTGCATGTTTTGTTTTATGATTGTGCCATTCTGTTATGACCTACAGTTTAATATGAATCCCATACGAAATAAAAGAAATGTTATGCCTGCTCACTCATGTTTTCTTTAAAAATGGTACATATATTACTAATGCAAACTTTTGCAAACTTTTGAGCACAACTGTACATGGAATTTGAAGGTATTTAATATCACATGTGGTGTTGTTATCTCTTCAGGTGTTGAGTCGCTATCTCTGAAGCCATGAGTTATCCTGGTTATCCTCCAATGGCCGCATTCCCCCCTATCCCTACAGGTAAAGCATTAGGCACCTCTTATTTAAATTGAATTGCTGTATGCATTTACTCATACTTTGTAATGATTATAGCTGGGTTTTCCATTTGAGAGATCGCATGTTAATCTGCTTTGTAGAAGGCTTTTTTCTCATTCAAAAAGAATTGTAATAGTATTCGTAGAAACCCATTTCAGCTTCTCTGAATTTTGACTTTTTACTTTAAAATTAGATCTCTGTCAAAGAACTTTTGAGTTTAATTTGTTAAAATGATAAAGGAAAATTAAATGTAATAATGCTTCTGCTGCCCAGTGTTTAATGTCTGTGCAGTAAGGCCCACACAATTGTTCAATCACTGGGCAGGAAATTAAATCAGAAGTAAACATAAAAAACTAAAATTTCCTAGCAGGTTGGGTCTTTGGTAGAATAAAATGTATAAGTTTCTTTTGCCAAAAAACTCTTATCTGCACACTGACTGCAGTGCATGCCCAGTATAGTGTAAGGTCCCAACACCTTGTACAGGCCCACCATCTTACAGATGCCGAGGAATGGAGCCGGGTGTCTAGATAATGCAATTCTAGCTCACAGTAGAGCACATCTGGAGGTGAGTGTGTTTTATAATGTGCAAGTATTCTGTGCATACTTTTTCTACATGGTGTAGCAGCTTAAAAAAAAATAGTTTTAGTTTATTGGGAAAAGTTCATTTCTTTTTTTAATTGTTTTTAATGAAGGCTTTTTGCATCCTGGAGGTAGACATATGGATAAAGCAGCCAGGGTCTGTTGGACACTCTGTGATCCAATACACAGTTACAGGAAGCCAGGAGATGAGAGTAGTAGATTAGATTTGAGGAATATTTCCTGTGAAGCGCATTGGCTTCCTGGCTGTGGGGTTTATGCTGCCCCATTAAGTGCCAGTAACCTCTTACTGTCTACTCTGTAGTAAATTAGCATTCCTTGTAAAACGTTCCCTAAACCAGTACGATGTTAATGCATTTTTGAAACTTTTGTTGATTGCCTTATTAAACACTTGGCAATGAAACAAGCGATCAGACTAGGGTTCTGAATAGGATATTGGGTGTTTTTTTTTTTCTTTCAACATACTGTCATCTCTATAGGCTACAATGCCAAGTGGGTGTTGTGGAGATGTTTAGGAAATGGGAACAAACAGAGTGGCCCATATGCACTAATCCTTTTAGTAACATTACAGTATGCCAGGGAATGGCATGTTTGACCTCATGGATGATGTGGTCCTTCAACCTGATGATTACATGGGATGTACGGTATATACCAGGCTACTATTTTACATTATTTTTAAAGTAAGCATTTGTCCGTAGGTATGAAAACAATATGTACTCAAGTTTAAGGTTTGAATGCAAATAGGGACATTTATGCACTGTTTTCAATACACATTTCATTATGTTTGAAGCGGTTTGCATTAACTATAATTTTCTTGGCTTTTTTTCAATATGGCAGGAGACAACCCCTGGGGAGTACCCAGTAACCCTCCTTCCATTGGGCTGGATATGGGTGGATTCTCTCAGCAATACAACCCTCAGCAGTATATGGTGAGCACTGCTTGGTTTTTCACCTTGTAACAGAACTAATGTCATCCTTCCAATGAACATGCTTTATGGTTTTACACATGTATGTGGCAATTGACCTTCAGAATATGTAAATATATTTCATGTTAAAGAAAGGCCATCAAGAATAGACCAGTTACTCTTGTATGAAGGATAACACCAATGGTTCACTGATATTTGATATCTGATGATATGGTGTCCTTTAAGGCAAGTGTTAACAGGCTTTTGACTGCATCAGAACTGCTTCTCTCCCCATACAAGTCTCTAAGAATGCTTGAAGTCAAATGGATGTCAACTGAAGGTCCAGTATACCTGCAATGAATGCTGGATGACCTCAGAAGCATCTCAAACCCATGTCATATGTATGCTACATTTACAGCCTAAAGCCCATCAACACTATCCCTTATTGTAGCTGCTTCTCCATATTGTCATTGTTGACAAACACCACCATGTACGTGTTCCTTTTTGTGTGATAGCATCCAAATATGCATTCAGTAAATGTTTTCTTTCTTTCTGTAAAAGAAATCTGTACGTTAAACCTATTGCAAACAACAAAAGCATTGTCAGATAAGCTTTGACATGCTAACTAACTATTCTCCCTGGTGATTCTCCCTCTTAGTAGAGTGTTTCAAAGCCAGCAGATAACTGCCAGAAGTAATGCTGGAACTGGATGCGTCCAATGTCTTTTTATTTGGTTTTTCTTTAGTGATATATGGCCTGGTTCACACTGAGCGTATTGTCACAGCTGATTCATTTTCATATATTTAAATAAACATTTGCCTTGTAGTCTTAATTTTTTTTCCTTTTAATTTGTTCCAACAGTAAATTGATTTTTTTATTTTCTTTTTATTGTAGACAGGACCAGGCTATCCAGCAGCTGGGTTTGGTGGAATTAACCCACCACAAGCAGGCTATCCCCCTGCACCTGGTGGCGGCTATCCCGCTGCACCTGGAGGCGGCTATCCCGCTGCACCTGGAGGCGGCTATCCCGCTGCACCTGGAGGCGGCTATCCCGCTGCACCTGGAGGCGGCTATCCCCCTGCACCTGGAGGCGGCTATCCCCCTGCACCTGGAGGCGGCTATCCCCCTGCACCTGGAGGCGGCTATCCCCCTGCACCTGGAGGCGGCTATCCCCCTGCACCTGGAGGCGGATATGGGGCACCACAGCAGCCTCAAGCACCAGGCTTTGGCATGTACCCTGCCCCAGGGGGTGGACCACAGCCTGGGATGTCTGGATTTGATACAGGATACCCAGGACAGCCAGCACCAGGCCAGCCACCTGCAACATACCCTGGTAGCTGCACCTGGAGGCGGCTATCCCGCTGCACCTGGAGGCGGCTATCCCCCTGCACCTGGAGGCGGCTATCCCCCTGCACCTGGAGGCGGATATGGGGCACCACAGCAGCCTCAAGCACCAGGCTTTGGCATGTACCCTGCCCCAGGGGGTGGACCACAGCCTGGGATGTCTGGATTTGATACAGGATACCCAGGACAGCCAGCACCAGGCCAGCCACCTGCAACATACCCTGGTCAGCAGCCACCAGCAACATACCCGGGTCAGCAGCCACCAGCAACATACCCTGGTCAGCAACCGACTCCAAGCTATCCACAGGCTCCAGCAGTAAATCCCTCCATGCCACAATACCCATCTCAGCCATCAGCAACACCTTCTATCCCCCCATTAAAGGTATATACATTTTTATTTTGTTGTAAGCAGCTTTCAATATATTCAGTGTACCATCAACATACTGTTATATTAACTCAGTGCAGATGCATCCGTCAATTTGTTTATAAGACAAATGTTTTAGTTGTCCATGCTAGTTTGATTGACGCTCCAGTTTTGTGGATTAAAAGACCATCCGCTCCATGTCATCTACATATATTGTAAGGATTCTATCAATCATTATTCCAGGTTGGTAGCTGCTTCTTCTTTGTAGATTTGCATGCCAGTGCCCTTGCTGGACTTACAACATCAGTCTATGTGTGTACAGATAATCCTCGCTTAACGACTTACCTGTTTTGCGACCACTCGCACTTACGACCGCCCTGCGACCTTGCGCGACAGCGTCAGTGCGACGTGTCGCCGGCGGAAGTGACGTCCTCTGATCTTCACTGCGGGTCCCGGTAAGTATTTTCATTGCCCGATGAACAGTACACTGTTCGGTACTGTACATCTGCAATGCTATACAGTTCTGTACTAATGCAGTACAGTACTGTATAGAGTTCCTCACTTAACGACCAATGTTCCTCATTTAACGACCTGGTCGTAGGAACGGAACTCGGTCGTTAAGTGAGAAATACCTGTATAATAAAACATTCTGCAACCCTAGAACGGGTTTATATGTTCATACATATAAATGGTCAACATTTTAGCAGCAGTATATTTTATAGTTCTAGGCTTTTTTTTTTTTTTTATTTGAAATGGGGCCAGACTAAATTCTTTTTCACTTTAGATTAGAACCTCTGTCTGCTTTTCATTGTCCGTGTCCCCGTAGCAGAGATTTTCCCTCACTTCCTGTAATCCCAAAGGAAGTAAAGGAAATCTTTCCAGCAAGGACACTGATAGAAAAAAAAGAGGTTCTAACTCTTCTTCACTCTACCAGTAAATGGTTGCCATTGGAGAGATTCTGTTAATTTATGTTGATCACACAGTAAATAAGGGTAAGTCTCAATAGCGGGGACATTTTGGATTGGGGAGAATATTTCTTCTGTATATGGGGTACTTTATAGATGGGATGCATTTTCTGTTTTATGTATAGTTAGGCAGTGATTAATTGCTCTACCATTTTTGCATGTTTTCTTGATAACACAGATAAAACAATGACCCAACATTTCACTTTCCTTTTAGCCTACAAGAGGTACCATTACTGATGCACCAAACTTTGATCCCCTTAGAGATGCAGAGGTGATCAGGAAGGCCATGAAAGGATTTGGTAAGATGCTAAACAAATGATAACACACCTCATCTGTTTCTAGATTGCTCCAATCCCTTTACATCATCTCTGCCATATTTTTCTTTATTTTCTGGTTAAATGACCCAGAGATAAATTATTCTTGGAACCTCCAGTGGGTAGATCTCTTCAACTGATGGTCTGTCTATGAAATATTGGCAATATGGTGACAAGCAGGGGCATTTTTTCTCTCCTTCAGTATTCTGCATAACATAAATAAACAGCACAGTGACCATGTGAAAATGAAAGCGATGGATGGTGTAAAGTAGGGATGTCCACTTTTTCAGGACCAAGTACAATTACTTCTCCTCATGTACTTGCCGATACCAATTACCGATACTTTCTTTTAAAGCGACAGGTGACTTTAAATGATCCATAGTACAACTACATGTTATGTACTATGAATCATGATTTAACCTATTCATGTTAGCAGGGGAGAATTGTAAATCTATTGCTGGAGTGTAGTGGAGGTGTGTGCTGTATATATGTACTACATATATACATTACACAAGTCCAGTACACTATAGCATCAGATTTAGAGCCAGCCCTGTCCCAGCTTCCCTTGGGTTAAGCTGTACTATGGATCATTTAACCCATTCATGTTAGCAGGTCAGAATTGTAAATCTACTGCTACATGTTATGTAATATGGATCATTTAACCCATTCATGTTAGCAGAGGATAATTGTAAATCTACTGCTGCAGTGCATTCTATATGTAGCACATATACAGTACATATAGAATGTACTGCAGCAGTAGATTGTTCTTGTTCACACAAAACACTAAGCCCAGGCCCCGTCTTACTCACTGTTGCCTCGATATCGGTGCCTCACGATTCTCCTCACACGTGAGGACGTTGTCGGTGCTGAGCGGTAGAGGAGCGTCGCGTCACTGCTGCTCTGGTGGGCGGCGCTCCAGTTGGGGTCCTAATTTAGGTGGCCGGCAACTGCCTGGACGGCCGCCCACCGGAGCAGCAGTGACGCAACGCTCGGTGCGGCAAGTAAAACAAAACATATCGCAAGCTTCGGCGCTTTGTATCGGGGCATTTTGACAAGTACAAGTATGCTAGTACCGGTATCGGGATATCCCTAGTGTAAAGGGATGCTGTGTTGCCGAAGACATAAAAGCTGATGGTTGCTCCAACCTACTATCATCCACCAATAACTGGAAATCGATTAAATTTAACTTTTTTAACTTTTTAAACTTTTAAACTTTTCTGTCCTTGATCAGCACTTCATGTCAAAGCAGATACAGATAGGAAAAAAGGGAGACACTTTCAAAATAAATGCCCTGCTAAGTTTCGATATAAAAAAGATACCCAGGGGTGTGGAAATGTTTAAAAAACTACTTGTCCGAGGACTAACCTGATCTACTTGTCCTTCTTGACAACCTACTTGTCGTGATACCAAAAATAATTTAAACCCAAACCGTGCTAAGAAGCGCTTCTCTTTCGTCAGCACGGCCACCTGACCAATGAGTGCTCGCAATTTGTGAGCAAAATCCATAGCGCAAGGCTGCGCTGGATGGCAATATGGGGTACAGAATAGTACACCTGTACCGGCACAGGGGAAGGACCATTCGCTAAAAGATAAGTTTAGCAGGGGAGGAGAGGGAGTCAGATTTAGGAGGGTATTTACATTTTTATTTTTTACTTTTTTTTTTCAAATAACTTTATCGCTATCACACAGGGGATAACAAGCCTCTGTGTGAGTGTTTAAAGGTGACAGGCTCTTTTTATGAAGCCCTTCAATACAGAAGATCAGCGTTGTGCACGATCTCCACAGCCTGGTTTGTGACAGCTGAGACAATAAGAGCTGTGAGTACAGCGCTCCTGTCTCACTGATCACACAGAGCAGATGGACGTTCTCCACTCTGCTCTCCATCTTGAAATCATTGCCGCTGTCCTGGGTCCCCCAGAGCAGCGGGGGACCCCGAAAATGGGGGAGGAGGGGGCGGGATGGACGGACAAGCAATCCTGCTGCACAAGTGATCTGGGCGGCTGTATAACAGTCCAGATCACTTGTACAAAAAAACACCTGCCGGTCGCCCGGAGCTCTATGTCCCGGGCGTCGGGCGGTAGGAATCCTGCACCCTGTAGCGACATAGAAATGTTCAATATAAGAAATCAACCCTATCACAGGGGTAGACAACTTCAAAGCACCTCAGCTGTAGTGAAACTACAAATCCGTATTTAAAATCCACTGCCTCTGTCATGTCAGTGGCTGTCAGTTTACCACAGCTGGAGTGCCGAAGTTGCCTACCCCGAGCCTAACCTTCCCTATGACATTATTGTAACCAAATAAATAATTAAACCACTATGTAGACACCCAAATCCGTAATGTTGAAAAATAGCACACAGTGTATCACGCAATATGTGACATAACTGCTCTCCCACACTAGTGAGTGCAATATTAATATGCAGAATAGCTGTATTAAAAGCTGATAGACATACGACCATGAAATGCATAGAGCAGTCCAAGTGGCATCCCCTCATCCTTCGTACTCCACCATGATACATTCTATGATCTTATAGCCTTTCCTCTTTTTAAGTTTACATTCCTTTCTTTAACCCTTTCGCTGCCAAGCCCTCCGGAACATTT